CTACTGGTGATGGAGAGTGAGTGTACAGCCTTTTTTTTATCCAGGCTTAAAGGGCGAGTCTTATGAAAAAGATTAAAGATGATGAATCTTCCAAGCCTCTGTTATCGACGTTCGCTTAGTGACCTCATTGATGTATACAAGTATACTCATGGCTTATACAAGGTCCCAGAAGGATTGCTAGAATTTGAAACAAGAACAAACACCGCAGGCGCCACGGTTATAAGCTAAAAAACTGCGGCGCGCAACTCATCCTCGCGACAACATTTATCCTCGATGCGAGTCAACCGACATGTGCAACAGCCTATACCTGATAGAATCGTTGAAGCTCCGAGTATGAACGTCTTCACGAACAGACTATAGATAGAGCTTTGCAGGAGCATATATTGTCGTGAAATGCCTAGCACCTGATCGACCTGACAATAAGTCCAGTAGCTAGCTCAAACCAATGTCAGTTATGAAAAGATCTGGGCAAAAGGCCGGTTTTTAGATCTCCTGTGAATCACGTCACGACAGGGACAAGAACAGGCCATGGGCCTATTTCTTCAGCGCCGACTCTTCTACTCTATTTTACTTCGCTGTTGAAAAGCGAGCTGACCTTAACTTCGCTTTTAAATCATCAATTTGCAAATTTGCAGCAGCCAGGATTGAGCATTACCCACTCAAGAGACACAAATATAAAATGATCAGTCATCGATACAACCTGTCTCAGTATAATTATTTTCTCGACTCGCATATTTGTACAATCATGCTCCACAACTATTTCGAATGAAATGGTTCTTCAGATGTAATATAGCGTTCAGAACTTTCGTTAATGTGGTGGAACTTGAGTCAATGGATTTCTAAGTGGTCTTGGGTGGTATACATAATTATTTCCAGCTTTTCTGAACACTTGAACACGAATTCAATAGTTTGTTGTATGGTCAATAAGGACTCATGCAAATGTTAAATTTCCGATAAGAGTTAATAATGCATGAAGTCCGTTGTCCGGTGCTCAAAGTGGTGATTTTCTTCTACGGCATTGAACGCAGACTGTGCGTCAACTCTTTGCATAATTCCTGTCGAATTCTCTAGCCCGTGCATACCTTGAACTTGAGAGCCGAGCCAAGACTTGCCTCTGGTCGATAACTTCGTCACAAATCGCTACCGCTTATCGACGCCTCTACGCTGTTCATTTGATGACATTGACTTGCCGCTGAGATGTCCGCCCTGCCCTCTACATTCATTCATTCTGATCAAAACTCAATGCTATCTTTACAGAGCTGAACGTGTTGCAGAGCTCTGCCTGAGAGGCAGCTATACAGTTGCAGAGCTCTGCCTGAGAGGCAGCTGTGCAGTTGCAGAGCTCTGCCTGAGAGGCAGCTGTACAGTTGCAGAGCTCTGCCTGAGAGGCAGCTGTACAGTTGCAGAGCACTGCTGGTGGCAAGTTTTCATTCATTAATAACGGAGAGCCCTTCGATATGTTTGGTCAGCGTCACCTGCTCTGTATAATTCAGACGATTCTTAACTTGTGTGAGCTCGTAGCTTATCTAAACTGTGCTCATTTAGATAATTTATTCAGCTTCTTCCGCACGTTTGAACTTCACTGCTCTTCATTTGTAATACTTAGAAACTTTGAGAACCATAATGGCATGGAATAGTGTCAAGTACGACTTTAAATATTAAAAAAAATCAACAGTTCCTCAGCACAATACAATCTAATCGTATCATAGTTAGAGATAACGAACTTAAGAGTGTTGCTGGTGACCCACATTAAACATTTCTTTTTAGCGCATTTTCTCATTTATGGAAAAAATGCGCTATTGTGCTCGCCATGTCCGTCCGTCCGTCTGTCCGTCCGTGACTTCACGTTTTCGTCGACGAGAAAATGCGCTCTCTATCACTCACTGCATTGAGTACTGAGTTATATTTTTTTCAATTTCGTTTCATCTTTGATACGACAGTCAACTACGTGAGAAATATTTTAGGTAATGCGTTATTAACGCTAGAAAAATAGAACATTAATTTCAAAGGCTCGAGTCAAGATCAAGGTAAAGTCTCATCGCAGCTTGATAGATGGCGTCGTCCGTGCAGTGCCGCGTTGAGGTAAGCGTCAAATTAACATGAACTCCCTATAGTCGTGTCATGCTAGGGCCGTCTTATGAATTACTTATTGGTAAAGATACATTAGAGCATTCAGAGGAATAGATTTCTACTGGTTCGTGCTGCTGAATATTTTAAGTAGTTTTTCGCACAATGATTGATTGTGAGCTAGCCTAGATTGTGTTCACTCGTGCATGAGACACGCATTAAACATGTCAGATTGTCGTATGAAGGCTGGCACGAGGCTGCACTAGTTCTGTACGATCAATCGCAGATACACATATCACGATTGCTTAAGAGCGTAGATATCGATAAGGTTCATTGCTGATCCTCGAATTGAGATTGTAAACGACTGGTAGCGAGAGTTTATATCGCTGTGCCCTTAAAGTTCGTTCATATAATTCTCCTGAACCTGAACCTCTCGTAGGTTAAAATTACTGGTGCACGTGCCATCAAATCACGTCACGTGAGATCAAGTTCTAGCTACGTGCCATCACTGATACATAAATTCAAATTTCCGATGCGTTGCACCGTCAGGGACGCAGGTTTGATCGATTAATAATAATATCATGTTGCAGCTCTGGCTTGTGCAGATATTAGTAACGTCTCTGAAGGGCCGAAGATCAAGGTCCATGCAGTTATTAGCATTAATACCGCCTCTAAACTGTACAAGTTAGCGTGCGTGAGGTTGCAAGGATTCACGAGAGTATCGAGGTAATCGGAGAGTGCGTGCGAGTTCGAGCGCCATGCTTTATTTATGGCATAATTTGCGGCCGCTGAGTGCAGCGTCCGCGGCTCCAGTTCTGTTCTGGACGGCGTGACTCCTACAGTCTAACTCGGCCTCGCGTTTGTCGTTTTCAACTTGTGCTTCGCAGTGCCGGCAGTTTAGTTCCATTCGACAGGTTGTTGCTATCGTGGTAAAACTTAACGCAGTTTTCTCGTTGAGGCTCGTACTTTTGCAAGAATTTTGAAGTTCAATGGATTAGCCGTTTTTATTGGTCCCTTTAAAGTTTCTAACATTGCAGTTGGCACGTTTCTTAGTATCTGATGTATAAGTAAAGTAATTATTGTCGTAGGCAAGTAAGTCGGTGCAACGTCACAAATGTTCGTTTCTCATCAAGAATGAAACGAGCATTTGCGATGAAAACGATGCGTAAACATTAATCGTAAACGGTGCTTTTGCGATGGAAACGATGAAAATAATGCACTTTCAGCGATGCGATAACGCATTGCGATAATATAGTTGCGCTAGTAGATAGTACCCTGTTTTGTGAGTATCCACCTTTATTCGATTCGCGGAAAATTCTGTATACGTTCACGCTCTCTACTTTATTCAGTATATTGTACTTTGTTCCGTATATTTTAGAATGAATTTATTATTATAGATATTATTATTATAGATAATATTATTATAGATATTATTGTTATAAAATCAATTTTTTTATGAGTTTAAATATTAGGAATAGAATCAAAAGCAAAAAGCAGAAATGTATAAACAAACCTAAATAACAAACAAACCTACTAAATAGATGATAAGTAAACCAACTCGCTGCCTTTATACAGAAAATTAGAGTCAAATAATGAAATAAGAATGAAAGGGTAGCCATCGACTACCCTATAATCTAAATAAGTTTTGCGTTCTTGTGAAGCGATACAAAATTCGCCTTGCATCGTCTTCTGACCGCGATGCTCGCACTGCTATGATGGCCCATACCATATAGCGGTCGCGCACACGGAACTGATGCCAGCCAAAACTTCAGCATTTCTTCAACTGAGCTTCGTGTTGTGGCAGCCCGTGAAATAAGTTGTTCATGGTACAAGTGTGAACCTAAATTTGAGTGTTGTTCAACAATCGTTACCTGTGCGAGGTTTGAAGTAACCTAAACCCGGTGTAAACCTAAACTCGTGTGCTGTTCAACCCTGGGGACCTGAACGAGGTTTCAAGTAAAGAAAAGTGTCAATTATCTGCTAAAAAAAAAAGTTTTTCTGTTGTGTTCTATTTTTCGCACAATCATCGTCCCTCTGCATGCTTAAAGGACGTCGTAATTAAGCTGACATTTCAACGGCTGTAAACAAGAGCTCGTGTTTTGTGTGAGAGGAACCATCGGCAGTTCGTGTTTTGTGTGAGAGGAACCATCGGTAGTTCGTGTTTTGTGTGAGAGGAACCATCGATAGTTCGTGTTTTGTGTGACAGGAACCATCGATAGTTCGTGTTTTGTGTGAGAGGAACCATCGGTAGTTCGTGTTTTGTGAGAGAGGAAACATCTGTATATTGTTCGTGTGTTGTGTAAGAGGGACCATCTGTAGTTCGGGTGTTGTGTGAGAGGGACCATCTGTATATTGTTCGTGTGTTGTGTGAGAGGAACCATCTGTAAATTGTTCGTGTGTTGTGTGAGAGGGACCATCTGTCGGACAAAACCATCTTGTTTTGTCTGAAAGGTATAACTTCTTCTCCACATTTTCAGTCAGTTTACTCGCGTTTATTTTGTTGATTTTAAGGCGTTCTTTGAATTTGTATTTAAGTTTATTTCCATCAGAACATCTGTTTTACATTCATCAGTTGATTTATTAGACTTCGCCACTCAGAGTTTGGCAGTTTTTTGAGTAAAATTGCTTCAACTCTTACAAAAATTAAACATTTTCACCTCAAATCAGTCTTGAATAAATTGATTTTATTCAAGCTCGTGATTATTCTTAAACTTCTGTCTAAATTTAAATTCTCCAAACACTCAGCTCCGCTTAGTTGGGGTTTGATATTGTAACTTTCCTGAGGCTGCAGACACTCCTGGTAGTTTTTTCTATTTTGTTCTTTGTGTGTGTTTAGAACACTCGCACATTATCGCGTTATTCCTTTGCATTTTTTACTTTGATAACGAAGTTGATCACGTTTTCCATTTGTTTGTTTCATTTAAATTACTTATTTGATCTTCGCTTTGCTTTGTGTCGGAGTGTTATTTGTTTATCCTGGGGATAGGATGGCACCGGTTGTGGCACCTAAAGCTCCTTACTACGGTCGTCACAGGTGAGCGTAAATGACGGCATTTGGCTTTAATGTTACAACGATTACGGTATAGAATTATCCATGAAATTATTGCGTGGTGATGTTTGCGTCTTGATTTACAATGTGCCGCAAAGTGACTGGAGGATGTATAATCAAAGAGAAATTGCCATCGTCTTCAAGGCGATATATAATAAAATTAGTTAGCTTTATTTACTATTAATGATGAAAACTGTAAGTCAAGCTCATTTTTATTCTGGTCTTCAGTTGACTTTTTTTTTTGCATTTTAATTTTACGTAAGGAAGAGAATCTACTGATTTTTCGGGGCTAATTGATGGTTGCGATACCAACTTAAATACCTAACTTAAGTTTATTTTATTATTAAATTATTTATTAAATAATTTTTAATTATTATTATTTAATAATTCTTTGGTTTATTAAATAATTCTCAAAATATATCCAATTTCGCCCTGTAGATATTTTACGATGGGTACTAAATTTTTCAGAAAAGTTGGGATCATGATTACTTACCATCGAATAATTGTAAGAGATCGTTTCAAACACAATTATTCAGACGATTCTAGAGGCATTAAGAGTTTGAAACAGAATTTGTTCAAAACATGGTGAACTTCGGACGCATGTTTTTACAGTCATTTTATTTCTCCTCTTTTACAGCCTGCCGAAAGCGACCAAGTCGCCGAGGTGCGTGACTGATGTTTATTCATTGTTAACTCTAGCATGGTAATCAACCAACGTCTGTTAACTTAACTAAACCCTTTAACACTAAGAACCCACCTTGCCTCAGTACGTCACTCCGCACATAATAAACTCGATCCTGCATGCTAATCCACCAATGTCTATTTATTTTAATCCTCTAGCACTGGCAGACCAAATCTCTTCGAGAGCTCACCACGCACAGATACTTTAATTCTGCTCAATTTTAAACGACTCCAAAGTTATTAATAATTGGTATGGAAATTTTTCACTGAAACAATGAGTTTCGCCGTAGCGCTAAGAAGTCCGAATGGGGTTAGATTAAAAACGGTATTCGTTTTTATTTATTTATATTTGTTTTATAATACATACAAATATTTCCATGATGCAATGTCATGAATTGTTAGATGAAAATTATCGCTCAACCAATTCCGTTGTTGTGTAGAGCGCAAGGTTGTGATATGTTGCTGAGAATCAATTCATAATTTAGCGTGAATTGTGTTCCGGCATAGTAAAAGCATCGCTAAACAAACAGTTTTCTCAGCTGGCTAGGAATGCAAGGTTTTGATTTATTTTTTATGTTGATATGGACGGACTGGAATGTGCGTGCTGAAACCTGGACAAATTTCATACGCAGAATGGGGCCGTGCTATTTCAGTAGCCGTTGGATTCATACCATTTTCCTCATTAATTAGCAATGTTAAAGGTAAACACTTTCACAGATTCGAATTAAGTGATTGAGAAATCAAAATTGAAATAATGGTTTACTTAAAGTTTTATCACATGTTATAGGTGATGGCAAACATTATTTCATTCGGAATTTTTTAGTGGATCGTTTTAATCATGTAGTGTTAGCTTTAGTGTTGTTTGTTATTGAATTTTGCATTTAATTTAATGTAGCACGTGATTATAGCACTGCTATTAACGCCATTAATTTCGTCTCGAGTGAGTCCAAGAAAATGTAAAAATACTGCATTTTATTTTATTTTTTAACATTTTTCGTAGCCCTGTGAGGTAGTTCATTAGGTCACTTGTCCAAATACTAAACGTTTATTTCTTCAAATTTATTAATGAATTTTTTATATGATGAAATTAATTTTCAATGAGCTTGGGGATTTGAATTTCTAATTCGGCCTTATTCTTCTGAGCAAGGAAGTGATTATGAATGCTTGATCGTAGCGGCTGTTAGTAATGCAAAAGATGGATTCAGAGGTACATTGCTCATGTGAAGAGATCTCAACAAAATTTAGAGCCGCCCCAGTTTCTGATTTGCGACATCAGAAGCTGGGGCCGCGTTATTTTTGTTCCTATCTGAATGCATCGTGGCATCCTATACCTTGTGCGATGCGCACGAGTTGTGTCCGTAAGCATGCTTATTGTTACACATCAAACAAAGTACATAATAATGTTGTTATATTATTAGTACGTGATAGTCCTTGTGTGTTTGCCAAAACTCTCCGACTTACAAATGCAATCCAACTAAAAATCTTCTTATTTTAAGACGTCATCGGAAGTAAATGTAAATGAATAACGATGTTAATTTTACGTATCAACATCGTCTGCATGCCAACTTGGAGAAGAAACACGGCCGTCTGGTAGCCAAGTCATGCACTGAATATCAATCGAGTTAATTCATCAGCTATGTTGAGTCATATTTGAATCGACCTTGTAACGTAGCAGACTTCCTGATTCCTAGATCGTAATGGACAACCAGGTTATTTGTTTTGATTAATATTTTATATTGATAATTTTATCATTGTGAATTCAGACATGCCTGGCATCATTTTTTCGGTAACATTGAAAAGATTTGTTAGATTGAATGCATTAATTTATCAGATTGACTGAATGATTTTTTTATATTTTATCCGGAACCCAAATTTTCGATGGTCACTTCGCTGTGAAGTTACTTTTCTATCTGGTCGAAAATAGGGTTAAAATGGAACAGATTTCTAATGCTTCACTAAAAGCTTCTGATACCTGATGATTAGCTAATGATACCTCATAATAAGCTTCTGATACCTCGTAATTAGCTTCTGATACCTCGTAATTAACTTCTGATATTCTGACCGTCACCCAGAAATGAGTGGCTCGACAAGAATTGTCAGCGAAATTCAACTGCGTTCGCGATAGCAGTCATTAACGTACGAAGCGTTAGTTTCCAAATCAGCTACCTATATAATCAGCTACCTCCAATTAAATTACCGCTGAATTAATGATTAAGGGCACGGGACGGTGCAGCAATGATGGAAAATCGTACAATTTTTCGCTGACGTCTCCTCGCACAATGTGGGCCTCAGGGTCAGTAAATACGTGTAAAGTCAATAAGTGTTCGATTCATTGATGACTGCTGCGTGGAATGTAGCCGTAGTGGCGTATATTGTATGAGTTTTCTGCACGTATTATCTTCGTCTCCATGCAATCACTTCTTTCATTCGGTTCACGCGGCATTTTCCCAAGTTTTCATCTTGAATGTATGCTGGTGGTGACGGTCAGTAGCAGCTCCGGTGTTACGGAACTAATTTTGCTCACCGGATTTGAGCGACATATTTCGTGGCAGGATTCGGTCACAAGACAATGCTCAATTACAATACAAGTTCTATCGTCATCCTGTACACGTGCTGAATGGTCATCGTCCAGCCTATAACGACCGTCCCTGCTTGCAGTCGTGAGTCCGATAGATATAGAAGCGAAGTTTTATGGATTATTTTTTACAATTACAATTTTTTAGTTGCGTTGATTACGCTAACGTTTTAAAGGTCATTGAAAACCTCAATGGTTGTGAAAAAAGGCTACCTACGGTATCAACTTCATAGGTTTTATTATAGTAATGTGGTACTCACTGCCAACGGCGAGCTTTAACTCTCATCACAAATGGACTGAAGCGCAAGAGTTCAGCGTAGCAAGACGCAATGGCGAGTAATTTTAAACATGTCATGTGGAGCGCAAGCGTCAAACGGTCGCGCTCTTTTTCACATGTCAACATGAAGCAACAGCCCGCGAGACTATACGCACTACGCAGGCCACCACATGACTTCACTTACATTTGTTTATCATATACTTACGCTTGCACTGCACGACCTACCCTGCATTTGTGTATCTGATACTCACGCTTACCCATTGCACGGCACGACCTTCCCTGCATTTGTTTATCGGATACTCACGCTTACCCATTGCACTGCACGACCTTCCCTGCATTTGTTTATCGGATACTCACGCTTACCCATTGCACTGCACGACCTTCCCTGCATTTGCGAGCGATGGTACTAATAACATTCAGTGCAGCGAGTGATAGTGTTTAGTGCGTGTGCTATTCATATGCTATCAAAATATCCCAACGCACGTCCCTGCTTTTTATTGTAGTGACTATAAGAGCTGTTCATTAGTCAAGACGTATAGTGACAATATAAGAGCTGTTACACAGTCAAGAAGTCAAGTGACAACAAGAGCTTCTCAACTGTCAACAAGTATAGTGACAATAAGAGCTGCTCAATGGTGAATTGATCCTAGAATGGCGAATTGATCCTATTGCTAAATGTTTAGGAACTTCCGAATATGGTTATATTTTATGGAATGCATATAATATGGTAAGGGTGTGCAGCCGTGCACCACCAATTTTGTGCACCAATCACCCCTGAGTAGAACGCCTACAATATTTACGTAAGACCGCCAGTGAGCCACGGATGAAGCCTGCCGTCAGTAAGCAGCCCATAAAATCATCTTGTTTTAAATATCAAGCTCTCTACACCACCATGCACAGCAGCGAATAGCCCAGAGTGTAATGATCGTCCACAACTGAACTTTACATCGAAACATCACTTCATGCCCTTAAAAAAACTCCAGCTCTAACCTGCGAACAACGGAGTGAACGGACTGCCATTAATCAGCCTATCTCGTCAGGGGAACTGCATGAAACCTGCCGTACACCAACAAACCGCGGATCGAATAAGACTTCCAGGACGTTCGACCGTTGGCTGATTTTACGCGAAAGATGAATACGGACGGGTTGGTGGTTGGCATAATATTCACTACAAGGTTTCGACGCGTCCTATCTGAGTGGTGCTGAACTTTTTCGCGCATTGGCAGACGATGCTAGGCCTTAGTATAGTAGGCATCTTTCCTGCGGGCTGATTGGTCTACTTCAATAGATTTGATCTGTCTGGTGGCTTGTGGCCAATAATGTGATATTCCGGTAGTGTTGGTGGCTACGTTATTGAGGGAAGGGATAATTATAGTCCATTCGAAGCAGGGTAGTGGTGGTCTCCCACAGGAATATCTTATTAGCATTTTCTCATTCGTGGAAAAAATGCCCTATTGTGCTCGTCATGTCCGTCTGTCTGTCCGTCCGTCTGTCCGTGACTTCACGTTTTCGTCGACGAAAAAATGCGCTCTCTGTTACTCACTGCAATGAGTACTGAGTTATATTTTTTTAATCAATTCGATGTCAATGCAGTAGACTCGCAAATCACTATGGCATGGCGTTGATGGGAGTAGATTATCACTCAGTTGTTATATAATTCAAGCATTACCTAAAAGACAACTTGTTGTCGCGATCTTCCTACCTGAGAAATGACATTAGTGGTACAATCAAGTTTGTGGTTTCACATCTTGTACATTTGGCTTTTAAGTCACTGATCATATTGTACTTGCTCATTTTTTAGTCAAGTTTGAAATTTTTAATTTGAAGCATGCCTCAATTTCTCGAAAAGCAACGTGTAGTCAAAGGTGTACGCTGTCACTTGTATTGTTCATTGAAATGAATGAAATGACTAATTTTTTTTCGTTTTATATCTATGCGACACAGTAATTCTTATATTTTTACACTGTCACTCCGAGCCCCGGCACTCGAAATCCCGTACCCCAAAATCCTGTGAATAAATGTAAAACTAAAATATTTCAATTGAAGAATTGTCCAGTCAAAACCCGAATAAACATGGTACTCTATTTATCTCCCGGTATGACACATAAGAAAATATTTTTTCTGTAATTTATACCTACAACACCAATCCTTGGGGCACGAGTATCACTTTATCACCAATTGCAGAATAATTTTCAAGCTAAAATGATTTTAAAATTTTGATCCTGCCCTCTTCTCCCACTGAGCATAAGATCGAAGATTTAGGTGAGAGTGCTAAAATAAAGGACTTCGTGACTCTGCTCCACTACACCAGTACATTTACCATTTTACCATGCAAGCTTCAGTTTCACACCTTTCTCATGTTCACAAAAGCTGAGCTGGCCTCTACGTAAACCTTATCCTAATTATACCGCTAATGTGAAGAAGCAATAAGTCATGCGTATGAGGGACATATGTGGTATTTCCTTTTTGTGGGTTCAGAAATTATACAGGGACCAAACTAGCAGCTGTGTACCAGAATACAATTGGCTGCTCGTTAGATCGCGCCATGTTTTTCAGCCTATCAGCAGCTCCGATGTAGAGGCGTGTGGTGTGACGTCAGAACCTTTCTTCATGGACCGGTGCCAGTGAGCCCGAGCCTCGTGCCGATGTATGAGCGATTGCCAAATAAACACCTTCAACAATTTATTAGTCGTCGAAAGTTCTTTTGTGTTTGGGGGTTAAACCAGTGATTTAACTTGGACAGGGTGGATCGCCGGTTAAAGTTCAAAGTACCAAGATTGAAGCAGAGAAGTGCGGGTTCGATCACAGCTCTGTGCGCCAGTTTTTGGTCAGAATCGGCGAGGGGGCCGGCGGTTAAGAAAAGAAAATTTGACTTGGTTACTTGGTTAATTAAGATGAGGCGCGTCGCTCTCTTGAGTATTGGCGCCCATCGAAAATTTGAAGCAGTGAGTTGCGAGTTCAAGCCCGCAACAAGCTGTGGATGTTATGCAATGTGAAGAATCGGCGACAATCCTGCGGCTAATAAAAGCTGAAACCGCTATATTATATATTATTATATAGTGACTGATACCACGAAATTGTAATATGTTCAGAGGTTGCATTTTTTTAATCAATAAATTGAAACTTATGCATTTCGTTCTGTAATAATTTGATTATTATCAAGGCAAGCCCACTTTAAGTTTTACTTTATGCATGTTGGGCAAAATACTGCAATAATTGTGTACCTACAAGGCTATAATCATTTTGTAGATAGGTAGATATGACATGAGACTAAGGAAGCCGATGATAAAAAATTGTTATCGTAACTGAGTCCTTACTGCAAATTAAACTGCAGATCACCGTCGCAGCATATTCCAAAATTATATTGTACAAATCTCACAGTTATTTTTAGTTAACTCATTCCTAAAAATTTTTTGTTTCTTTCAGTATTCTGCTGAATAAACGTACGACATCAAATGTCCAAGCTACCAGAATTATCAGAAACCACTTGGTGGTATAAGTCTTTAATTAAGAACGTTTAACATGCAAACGTACAAGTTATCAGAATACACGTTGTGGTGCACGTATTTCATTAAAGACGTTTAAAATCAAACGTACGTACAAGTTAGCAGAAACCATGTTGTGGCGTAAGTCAATAAGGACGCATGACATCACACGGACGTACAAGTTATCGAACATGTGGTGGTATAAGTTTTCTATTAAGGACGTTTAACATCAAACGTATATAGGATTTCAGATACATGCTGTGGCAAACGTATTTCATTAAAGACGTATGACATAACACGCACATGTTATCAGAAACCAAGTTGTGCTATAAGTTTATCATTAAGGATGTTTAATATCAAACGTACAAGTTATCAGAATACACGTTGTGGTACACGTATTTCATTGAAGACGTATTAATTACATCAAACGTACAAGTTATCAGAACACACGTTGTGGTACACGTATTTCATTAAAGACGTATAAAATCAAACGTACAAGTTAGCGGAAAACATGTGGTATAAGTCAATAAGGACGTATGACATCACACGTACATTTTCTCAGAATTCATGCTGGAGATAAGACAACGAAGCGCGCGCCTTGCGTTCACTTAACGAAGGTTCTATTCCTTCCGGTGGATATCCGGCGCTTCCCCGAGTCACGTTGCGCGGAAAATAGTGTCTAATTTATGACCAACTTCTTCAAGGCATATGATACTCATATGTCTTTATTTGATACATATGATACTTAATACATACGAGTCATAGTTATGATGCATGGATTTCTCTGAATCTTGGACTGTGAGATTAGATAAACAGATGGAAGATATTTAATGCTGTAAATCAAAAGTTATTTTTGTAGCAACATTAAACTGGGGACGAAAAGTTTCTACGGTCTTGCTTGACTGTATTCTACACTTGGAGTGACAGGCGTAGAAGGCCCCTATTTCATATACATCTGTGTGGTGATGTGTCACCTAGTCAAGGGCACTGCTATTATTGTTGATATTTTCATCTCCATCACTATAAATTTATTATTGCTTACAAGAGGTGACACACTGTAAGTTATGAGCCCCTATCTCGCGCAATAAAACATTATCAGTTACAGAATTTTTCATGCAGGCGTTGTCTAAGACGAATTTTATGCTAGTTTCAGATAAGACGTTTATCTTCGATTTATTTTCACTCTTCTGAAAAAGTGGTCCGGAAAATGCTGTTACTTCTATTTTCCTTCGACCTTGAACTACTTTGCGTATATTTAATCTATTTACAATTTTTAATCCTTTCAGGTTTGAGCCACCCGACGAGATCATTCACTACAGCTCCGCGCCTCGGGTCTCCAGCGGTTACCTCGGCAGCACCACCGACAGCAGCCTCAATTCAAGTCCTGACTCAAAACATCTGGGCCGACATTACCAAAGCTTATACAAACATAAAGTCATCCCAGATATCAAACCCAGGAACGCTGCGTTAGCTCTCAACGCGGACAGCAAGTCGATATCAGGTCACAGAAATCCCGAGATTCACATCGCTTTCGGCAAACGTTCAGAGCCCCCGGAGCGGGAAGAAGACGAATACAACCGCCGTTTGAAATTTGTTAATAAGAAAACGAATTTCAAGCAAAAGCAAGCGACTATGCCTCCTAACCCTCGTAGCCAGTCGCAAGCAGGCAGTGATGACATCATTGCTGGTCACAAGATTTCACTTAACGTGCCCTACAATAAGGAAAAGTCCGTCAAAGAGAGTAGCGATGAATATAACGACCAGAGGCGACGCATTATGGCAGGAAACTTCAGTCCAGACGGTGGGTATATAAAGTTATTTATTTCATATAGTAATTCAATAAATAATATTATTTATACTAACTCAAATTGTTTTACCTAATCTTCAGCTACATGTATCTATCGATTTTGTGTATATTTATATTTATTTATTATTTTGTATTTTGTGTACACACGCACATAATTATTTCGATAATTTTCGGCATTTTACGGCGCTAGCCCTCATTATTTGAACAAAATTAGTTGAGACTTGAAAATATCTAAATTATTTTTTCTCTCTATTTTATCCTGCAGGTCAATATACTGATTTCACTCCAGTGATGATCGACGAGCAACCAGCGCTGCGCGAGTTTGATGACGCTATAGCCTCCGCTCAACGCAGCTCCCCGGCTACCGAAGAATTCTTCGATAATGCTACCTACGCTGGCAACTTCAGAACGACACACACTGATTTAGATTGCAATGTTCAAGACGGACCAGTCGACATCGAAGGTAATGGACGTGATATGACCATCAACGCAACTGAAGACCGGCCCCTGACTGCAGCGAACTCGATGGAAAACTTCGTGGACGCCGCGGAGGATCTCGGCGACCCTGCTGCCATGGGCCAGGCAAGCGCTCCGGAGGAAGCCATTGCTGAAGCCCCACTTTCGACAGCTAAAGTTGTGAGTTTACAACAATTTGTTTTGTTTACAGAGTTGCTTTTACCAATAAATTTACTAGCCTCAAACAATACAACGTACATTTTTATATATTTTTTGTCGCTTCTATGTGTGAAAATTTTGAAATTGCAATAGCCAATATTTTTGAGTAGAAACTTCTTATCGCCAGTCTATTCGCCTTAGGAGCACGTAAATCTCACTGTTTTACGGCAGGATTTTCAGGCATAAAATAAAACTTCAACGGAGACGATATGCTAAGCTTTAGATAAACATTCTAGCTTACTGATGCAAATATTTGGCTTCGGATCTGCAGAGCTATTTTTTATGCATACTGTTCTAGCTGGGTTTTTTGCGCCCAGCGCAAAATTACAGTATTTAGAACAGTATTTTTTTTTGCTGTACGCATTCCTTACTGAAGATGGAACAGCAATTGTACTTGGTTCGTTGTTTCCTCAAAAGGACTGTGGTCTCCATTAGATGGTCTTGAACTAGATTTAAACGGAAGATATGCGCGCATTTTGGTACATTTCGCAAGCGAAAGCTTTTGGTGCGCAATAGTCTGGCGCTTCTGTATTCAGCTGCCCACTTCAATACAATCCTGCTCGCATGTACGGCAAGTCGACTCTTCCTCTGTCGAAGTTCTCCCTGACAAGAATGTCAAGTAAATATCTAAAGAGGTAGAACAGTTTGGACTCTGCCCCCAGTTTGTCATTATGTCTCAGATATGTATTATTTCTCTAACGTCAACGTGTTGAGTAATGCAGGATGATCGTCGGGCGACTGGACTCGAACTGCGTCTAAAATACGCAGTAATTATACTCATTCCCGATGTTTTTCTCGACTCGTGATTAATGTAGAACTTGTAAGAATGAGTCGTTTGTTCAGTAAATTCCCGAAGTTTTCATGCATTTCCGAATTTAAAATCGATGATGTATCGCTATCGAGCCTGGGAGCAAGTAGTTCGTGACGTTCTTGACGCGCTCCAAATATAATCTGTGCCCGAGGTTCTTGTTGCCTCTACAAAAAAGTCTACATAAAATGAGGCGCATAGCCGCTGTCATCCTTTCGCCCTGTCACAACGCCATATTTGTCCTGGCAGTAGGACAAATATGGTGGTTATTAATGTTTATAAATCTTGTCCTTGTACTCGGTTTGTAATCTTATCCGAACGATAAACATAAAAATTCAGCAGAAAATTGATGTCCGATAGCCTTCGATTTGGCTTGGAAGCTTGACGATTCTGAGTATTGATGAGCGGGTACACAGGTCCAATATGAGGTGTGAATTTGTGAGCAATGTTTACGTGTGGAGACTGACGTCAGCAGCGAATGTTGGCCAAGACTCGTGATGCTTTGCGCCGCGCTTATCATAAGAACGAGGCTGCAACTTTTGCCAGTCTATTTCAGCGCGGACTTTGGAGTAGCCGGTGTTGACATATACTGCGACGTACGTAGGACATCGTTTGCTTTAAAATGACGCGAATTAACTGCTAATAATAAAAATAATGAGTATCTGCACTTTCAGCTATTATATCAAACTTCAATAATCTAACAATGTTGGAATGATTTCAAATTGATATGTAGTAAAAGAATCTAGTGATACTTTCACGAATATATTTTAGTCAATGAAAGTCGGGTTATTTCTGATACAACCTGATGATAATGTAGTTGGTACTCGTTAAAATTTAATGAACAACTTTACAGTTTACGTTTCTATGAAAATTTTTTCGTCACCGACGGCTTGCCAAAGATGACGTCACCGTCATCTTCCACAATTATGCCAAAAGAATTTATTCGGCTGAGGCTTTTGATCACGATATATGGTGTAGCACTGTAGCGATTTTGCCCCTGTGAGGTGCATAATTTTACTCCCCCGATTTAACAGGCCAGGTGCTCTGATAGATTTTCCTGAAACAAGTTGCAATCGATGGGACGTTAAATTGTGCTTCTATATAAGAATACAGGTGTAGTGTCCACCCGACACCTTAATTTGAACCTAGAACTTAATTTTGGCATTGTAATCTACTTATCCTTCTTGGCTTTAAATTGTTGAAAGAACAAATGCAAAAAGTCCCATTGAAAAAGTTTTCATTTCAACATCAAAACTGCTTTTCGACATTTTTCCCTCCCTTTCTTCGTTTGAGTGATCTTCGCGCCCTCACTGAAATATATCATGATGATAATGAACCATATTTATTGACATGGCTCTCTGTTAAGGCAACTGTAAGTACGACTAAATATAGAATGAACCAAAAAATCCCATAGTGTAAATTTTTCAGTTATCGCTAAATGTGATTTTTTGTTTGGGCTTGTCGAAAGTGGTCATCGATTTTGAGCCTGTACCAAGAAGATTATCGATTTTGAGCCCACTTTATGGAGTCAGAACTCAATTAGAGTTGTGATTCGAGCACATTTACATGCAACAGAGCGCCTCGAGAGCCAAATTTCCAATGGCCCCTAGCGAAGCGTCTGGGGCCCGTACTCGTGTCGGTGCTCCTGTTCCGATTGCAGCTATAGGCTATCCTCAAACCCCTTCATACATGTATACCATTCATTGATTTGAAACCATGCAATGCTTCAAGTTACCGATAGGTGTACTGAATGATGTTATACATAGATGTCACAACGAGTTCAATTATGCTTGACTGGGGTTGGACCCAGGTCTTATCCGGTATCGTCATAGTGTGAATGGAGTTGAGTCGTTAAGGTTAAGTTTATGATAAAAACACTTTTGCTAACCCCAGGTACACCGACGTTCCGATGGTTTATATCTCACCCTCTTGGGGTTGAGTTAGTCAAGATCAGGTTAGGTTATATTATGTTAGGTTAGGTCCCTTAGGTTAGGCTTGGTAAAGTAAGGATAGGTTAGGTTAGGTTGTGCTACCCATCCCAAACTGGGGTTACGTTAGACTAGGTACAGGTTCCGATAATGACTCTACCTTTGCTATAATTTCTCGATGTACATAACAATTAAGTTTTGTTATTGCATTTAAAATGCATTGTAACAACACAAGTCACATAAATAATATGGGCATGACTGGGGTTGTGCGTGTGTGTATTGGTTGGAATGTGATGGCAGTTGTTGTTGCAGCATGAATTACTACTACTACTATTAAAAAATAATTACCGCTTTGCGGTTGGGAGCAAGATTAACTTTTTTTAAATCAGTTGTTAATATGCCTAGGTTGAAACTTAATTTGACGCTTTTCACTGCCCCCTTGTAAAAAATGAATTTCACATGAATTTACAATTTGTTCCAGCACAGTAGTAACCACAATTTTGCATCTCATTGGCGTCATTGCCCAAAACCTGCACACCACAATAAACGTGCTAACAACCCTGTCATGAACCTGGTTAACATGGATGAATACCGTCAAACAAAAAAATTGCATTCTGCAAGTACTTTTAACTAGAAATGCAGTTATAAATTTACCCATGTATTAATTATCCCAAATTTTGGTAAAACCATAAAAAATATCCATACCGGACAGCTTCAATCAACTTTAACGTCTGCGAGTTTCCTCCGAGGCGGGGTTTCCCCAGGCTTAGTTCTTTTTTCCTGCTGCACTAAGTGTGCAATATTTTCGCTTATAGCCTCATGGGATTTATCATAGAATGCTGAGTTCATTGAAAGCCTTTAGGCTAAACTTGCAGGACCGCAGCTACATCGTACGATCGCTGGTTAAGGGAACAGGTTCGCTTGCAAAAACTTGCCAAGTGGAATGATTGTCTCACGAGGCGGTTTTTGCTCTCTGCTGTTCTGATGGCCAGGAATCCCAAGCATATTTTTCATGTTGTATGGAATATTTTCTGGAGGTAGCGTCTCTTTTAAATTAGAAGACCGTGTGATTCTTTCGCTCCTGCTTGGTTGCATGTTACAATCTGCCGAGAGATTTATCAAATGTGTATGTGAGTGATGAACCAAAATTTCATTATTTTGGTTGAAATTGAGATGTTATTTCTAAATGTATATCTGTTATGTCTCAGTTTCAGGATAATGCACATTATTGTTAATACACTGTCTAAAGTGTTTTGGATTTACGAGATATATTTTAGTGAGCTTCTCACGTAGGCAGAGCCCAGCGCACGTGTTGAATGTTACATAGGCGAAGTGCATAGGCGAGCGCGGCGCGGTAGTCTGAGAAGCTTCGTCATATTGTTGGCGTCCTCAGCTCCGTTGCCGTCAGTTTGCTTCCGTCTTGTCGCGCAGTGAGTGGTGGCCGCTCTCGATGGTCCTACACTTACAAGTTCTGATTGTTACGTCGCGCTCGTTTGTACTTCAAAGTTTATTGTACTGCTGACATTTCACGAAATATTTCTAATAAACTACAAAGGATCTTCTACTCAATTCGTTGTAAGTTATTTATTTTTACCATTGTTGTTGAGCCTTATAATAAATGTAGAACGGTTAAGGTGTAATTTTGTTTCAAGGCCATAACTAATAGTCGCGCGCAACCATGCGATAGGGAAGTCCGCTGGGTACGTTAATTGCGTCCCGAAGTTAATTTAGACGCCGAACGTTTTAAATGATGCTGAATGACTGATGTTTTTCTGTCGATTACAAAGATGGCCAAATATAATAAATTTTATAATTAGTGATAATTTAACTGCATATTTAGATAATTTATTTTTGGACCTTAATAGTCCCACACAATATTTCCGCATTTTAAGCAAACCAAATTTTGCGTATGAGCTCACCCACAACAATAAAATTTGTAAACTGCATTTACAAATTTGCCGAAGAAGGCTTCGGTATTGTATTTTATAATAGTGGATTTGGTTACCTCAAAATCGTCTTTCGTTCTTTCGTTATATTTAACTCTTTGAACTCTGGCCACGTCGAGTGCCAGACACTTTTTGCCTTTTAAATAAAATATTTGAGACTTGCTAACCCAACTAAGGTTACGTCAAGGTACGGCGACGTTCCGATAGTTGATATATAACCCATTTGTGGTTGAGTTTGGTCAAACGTTTCCTCCTTTTCTGGGGGTCTCCCCAGGCTGA